GTGTGCTAAAATGCCCTGCTAATATGTTAGCCTAGATTACCCTAGCATTACTGCCAAATTACTGCATTTTAAAAAAAAAAATGTTTTATTTCATAGTAATGCAAAAGGCATGGAGAGAAAGGAACCCTCAGGCCAGAATTTCTGCAGCCCATGAAGCCTTAGAGTTAAATGAGTAAGTCGACATAAAGTCCTTTGAAAATATTTTCTTGGTCTGCTTTCTTATTACTGGGGGAGTCTTGTGAAAACTTCTTATCATTGGGAAAGTCTTATACAAAGTGAGATAGTACTCTTTGTCTATACAATCAGCATTGGAGCAAGGTGTGAGTGGAATCTGTACCTTTGCATTTATTGATGCTAAAGTTGTATTTGCATGATGAAGTTATCATTTTTTTCCAAATTAAGAAAAGAAAAGGATTAGTTAGAGGTGATGCAAGATAAACATTTATTTCATGCTAATCGTGATAGACATGTATTGATTTAAAAAAAGACATTTTTCATTTTTAAAAAATGCATTTTATGAGCTATAAAGTGATGGTATCTCTGTGATATATTGCCAATTACTTATTTTAGACATGATCTATAAATCTTATTGCACTTGCATGCCCCATTCATCCTTTTACCCATATCCATTTATAGTGGCCCTTGTTTGCTTATTGGGGCTTTGCATCTTAGTTGTCCCTTGGATATTATTTGTTCAGTCATGGGTTGGAATACAGAAGGCTTCACACATCTAACCCAAAACTGTTAAAACTAATAGGATTGGCCACATAAGTTATAACAGATTGTGCACACTGTTTGATCATACAGTGTCTTGTGCCCCAGCTTTCTGCTCTGGTCTGTATGTTGTAGTGTAATTCAGATCAACATAGCAAGATAATTTCCATATTTATGCCCTATAGTAAGTGCTTCTCCACAAAGATGCTCTGTAAAATCTGTATACGGGACCAAAACAAACAAATGGTGTTGTTGATCTTGATTTATATGGAATGTGGTGTTTGCAGAGCTGTATCTCCACCAGAAACTGAAAGGAGAATTGTAGGTTGTAGCTTGCTGCCCAGATCCATAACTTCAGGATTGGGTACCTTTGAATCTGCAGAATTGTGCACATGCAAAGTTGTTCTCTGTTGAAGTGAATAAGATAGCTCTGTAGGTCTGAATACATTTTACAGAGTTTCCATGCCTGCAATCAGTTGAGTCATGCATTTTAGCTAAAAGAATCAAGCATGCTCAAGCCACTTGTCCATCTGTTATATCCTAGCAAATATCTCTTCTTTTTCTAGCTCTCCTATTGATGATTACTTTGTTATTTCATTGACAGGTGTGCCACTGCTTATATTCTCTTGGCAGAAGAGGAAGCAACAACAATTGTGGAAGCAGAAAAACTGTTTAAACAGGCTCTGAAAGCAGGTGAAGGCTGCTACAGGCGTAGCCAACAATTACAGCACCATGGTACCCAGTATGAAGCTCAACACAGTAAGACTTTCCCTCTGTTACCAGTACTCTAGGGTCAGAAGGACTCTGTAGTGCCTTTTCAGATTAACAGACTCACTTCATCAGGCACATGGAATGGCTAAACCGATGTAGGATTTAAACTGGGATGAGGCAAGGAGAAAAAGGGAGGGGAAGACAGGGTGGTTACCTTCCACTCCCTTCCTCACCCTGATTTAAGACCTGCATCACTTTAGCCACTTCATGCATCTGATGAAGTGAGCTATAGTTCACAAAAGCTTATGCCTCTTAAGAAACCTATTAATCTGAAAAGATACTCCTAGACTCCTCCTGATTTTTGGCTACCATAGACTAATACAGCTCTCCTCCTACAATATTCTAGGGATCTCTGAGAAACAGGTTTCCTGCAACTTGCTAAGAATAATTGTTGACTTAAGGGAAATAGCTTGAACGCTGAATTCTATTTATTTATTCTCAACACTGTGGATAGTACAGTGGTTCTGTAGAAAAAAAAAATAACTGTGACATTCAGTAATATAAGATATACATACGTAATTTGCAGAACTAGAAAGAAAATAAAAATGCAAAAAAATGTAATGTAATAACAAAACAAATGTGAAATAGCTCTTGGGAGTATATCTTTAGGTATTGAAAAAGAATAGATTATTGTATTATTTTTAGATATGCATTAGGTTCTTGGACAAAGTAATCAATAGTTTCCAGTTACAGCTTTCTGCATACAAGAAAAATGAATTCAAAATGGAATAACAACAGTGAGTTGGGTTAATCATAAAAATGAAATGTGTCATGCGAAAAAGGAATCTGAAAGAATTTGATTGTTTAACTTGTAAAACAGAAACAAGGGGGTCATATTTAGAGACTTTCTTCTTGATGTCTTATGAAAAATTTGAAGTTGCTGCTAAAAATGTTTTTCAGCTCATTTTTTCCAAATATATGTTTAGTGACATTATTCAAACTGGCTATGTATGTGTGCATTAGCAAAGTTCCAGCCCAATCAATATTTTTGTCCCAGAATGGGTGAATGCAAGTAATTAGCATTATATCTATAAAGCTGAGAGTTTATATTTTACAAAATAGGATTGTTGTTAAGGAGCATTTATTATGACTGAATCATTAACAGAAAATTAAATGTTGCATGTCTTTGTGTCTGCATGTTGATTATATTGGAGAAATGGTGGAAAGACTAAAGCTTGAGAACATAGAGGCTGCTTATAAGAAGCAAATTAGCCTGTCAAGAGTACTCAGTGAAATTTCTAGATATGTTGAATGAAATGAATTACCTAATAAAGGAATCTTTTGAAATCCTAAAGAATTCTAAATCCTATAATCCTAAATGAAAACCATTTCACAGAGTCTGAGAATGTTGGTTTTGGTCAAGAACTTTCTGAAGGACGCTTTATATGATATAGATTTTCTGCATAGAAATGATTTTTCTAGAAAACAAAGAACTTGCAGTCTCTTTAGAGTAGCAGAATAGAGAAGGATATGATTGTCAGACATGATCAAATAATCAAATCAAAGGTTGCCAAGATTATTTTATTGAATGAAGGACAGGACTTGTTCCTTATCCAGATCAGGGACAGCAATATTTGCTTCCTTTTTTGATAACTTTAAGTGTCATGACCTCTACCAGCTTAGTGAATGACAGATGATAGGAATTGCACTCTAGCAACATTTGGAGAGTCACAGGTTGTCCGCTCCCACTAGTCTAAATTACTTATCTTTAAAAAAAAACAAAACCAAAACCAAAAAAACCCAGAAGACCTCTGGACTCCTCTGGTGATAAAACAATTAAACACACAAATTAAAACATAACAAAATGTGGAAAACTTGGTGGTCAGAATCTGTACCCCCATAGCGTGTGAAGCTCTTCGTAGATACGTTCAGTGGTCCAGGTTGTATCTGGTTTAATGTGGCTTTCTAACCCAATCTGTGCATTGGAGTCTTCATGATTCTGTCCCATAAAAAATGATAGGGATGGTTCCTCTACTTGTTTACTGTATCTATCAAGGTTTCTTTCTTTCTTTTTTAAATTAAGATAACATGCCACACATTATTGATATCACTGGACATTTTATTTAACGCCTCAGGTCACTGATACACAATGTATCTTAACCATGTTTACCTGGACAAAATAGTTTTACCATTTAAAGATGACTGTTTTATAGTAATATTAGCATATCCTTTTGGAGAGAATCTTTGTGGTCGCTTAGAGTCGCCCCAGACTTGATGGATGATGATGATGATGATGATTAAAATTTATATGCTGCCTGACTCCCAGCAACTCTGGGCAATTTACAAATTGTTAAAAACATTTAAAAACAAGTAACAATACAAAAAACACAAAACACAAAACAAAGATGGCAGAGAGAACAAACCCAGATAGGAACAAGAAAAAGGAAGAAAGGGGACATCAGTCGTCCTTGCCAAAAGCCTGGACAAAGAGCCACATCTTCGGGGCCCTTCAGAACACCCGTAGGATGGGGCCGTTTGAATTAAGGGGGAAAGGTCATTCCAGGGGGCAGTCGCTGCTACAGAGGAAGCGTACTTCTGAGGCCCTGAAAGATGGCATTGTTTGATCTATGAAACCCAGAGCATGCCAACTGTGCCAGATCAAGCCAGCTGGGCAGATACAATGGGAGACAGGAATCCCTCAGGTAACCAGGCCCTATGCCATGTACAGTGGGGCAAAAAAGTATTTAGTCAGCCACCAATTGTGCAAGTTCTCCCACTTAAAAAGATGAGAGAGGCCTGTAATTTTCATCATAGGTATACCTCAACGATGAGAGACAAAATGGGGGGAAAAAAATCCAGAAA